CCGATCCCTGCTAGTGTTTTGGTCAAGGTCTCTGTGGGGTCCATAGCTGGTGGTGGGAGAAGTTCTTAGCCACTTCTGTCATCCAGGAGCCTTTCTGATCCACCTGCCTTGTGGTGGCTGGGCTGCAGTTTCTCCTGCTCTGTCTCAACCCTCAGTGATATTTCACAAGCAGAACAAAGACTTGAATAGATCTTTATTTGCTTTGTGGCTAGAGGCTGCTTATCGGTCTGTTGGTTTTTGCTCTTCAGCTGCTTGTACTTCACACTACTCCAGTGTGACTTTCTAGTTTTAAGGCCTATTTATTTTTGCTTCAGCCTTCAAGGGATATATGGGAATGTCTTAAACCAGCTTTGCTTCTGAAGAAATCACAATGTGAAACTGAATTATGGAGCACTGAGTGTGTCCACCTACAGTGTTGTGTTTTTGTCCCAGCTTGGGATGTTTACGATAATGAGATTTTCTCAGCTTTTTGATGGAGGTGTCCCAAAACTTAGCTCTGCTAATGTTTAATTTGGGCAGTGTGTGCTATTTTAAACCAAATGTCATCCACGTAACAGCCTGCCTGCCGAGAGGCTCTCACTTGTCAAAGTTTGTTTGTTGTGGGGTTTTTTTTTTTGTATGGGAGTTTTGTATTCGTAGCAGAGATGAAGCTGTGTTGTAATTTTGTATTTCACCTGATGCTTGGTTAGGTCTCTAAATCCTTAATCCCAGTTATGGTTTATTTCTGGTAATGTAAATTGTGTAGCTTTTTAATGAGTGTTTACCCCTTTCTTTGCATTTTTTTGGAAGGAACTTCACTGCTTTGCTTCTCCCCACCAGTTCTTAAATATTCAAAAGTAGTATTCAGATTAACAAAATTCAAGTTGAATAAAGCCATTTCCTATTAAAGAAATAAAAGTATGAAATAGTCTCTTGATACTTTCCCCATATAAGCTTTCATACTAAGCCAACCCTGTCCAACCCTGTCTCAAGCCTTGAGTCATACTTGAGGTGTTGGCATTTGGAGTGAGGTTTGCAGTGATCTGGAGCTTAATACAAGTTTTTTATCTACAGTCATATGTGAATAGGTGATGAACCAAGCAGTATTTTGTCTCTGAGCCAAGAAACATAATTTATTGCTGAGAGACTGTTTTTTGTCTGTCTAACAATAGGATCATTTTCTGAATATTTAGGCAGAACAATTCTTGATTAAAAATTCTTTTACCAGTGATATGGTAGTTGAATTATGATCTGTGGGCATCAGAGATTAAATACTTGTTGCAGGAAGCTCTTTGGAACTGAGCCTTATGAAAAGGATGCATTATGCTGCAAATTATTAAATATTGATTTCTGTAACAGTCTGCAGGCATCAATGAATTTAGCAGTATGCTAGTAAATAATAATAGAAAAAGATTAATATCTCAACAGAAAAAGTAGTTACGAATATGTTTAAATCATTATTTTGGTGTGAGTTAAATTTGTGGATACCAAAGGGACTCAACTTTGGCCTCTTGTTGAATATCCAAAGCCACCTAAAAGATGTTTTCGCCTAGGGCTTTTGCAGCTGAAGTTTCCAAAGTTTCCCGAGTTCAGTGTGTCGCATTGGATGTGGGATGTTTGGCTTTGGAGATCACAGCCACGTGTCAGAGGAAGCCAGGCTTGTTCTATACAGAGTTTGCATTCTTCTGCATCACTGCGCGGTTTCCTGGCAGCCTGCTCTGAGATAGCTCAGTTAAGCACAGTTTAGCCTCTATAGCAAAGCTGTTGCTTGAAGTTGTTTGCACCAGTGATGGTTTCTTTACAATGGTTTAGAGAAGTTGTTACTGCAAAGTGTTTGCTCTCAGCATTCATTATGGAATTACTTCTCCAGAGAGATTAGCAATTTGAATTTGTCATTACTTTTTCTCTCAGTGTAAGTATTTTAAAGCAATAGCTTCCTCCAGAAGATGAAAGAAATTGATTTCATTGTCTTAATTTTGTATGGAGGGAAAGACAATTTTTGTATGTTATCCCTAAGCATCATTTAGATATCCACGAGGCACGTTTTTGACTTGCTGCTTCACTTTGTTCATGAGACAAAATTAATGCTCTTCTGCAGATGTTAGTCTTCAAGTTTCATTAGGAGGCACGACAACATCTGGGTCCTTAGGTCAATGAAAATGAGCAGGCAGCTTTAGTTGCAGCTTGTGAATTTGTCTTGCATGTTTATGTAGCAGCAGAAGTGGAACTGCTCATCACATGTAAAAGCATCTCTGTGAACTGTTGTTGGTACTAAATTAATAAGAAAAGGTACTGTATTTGAGGAAAATGCAGGGGTACAATTTGGGCTTTGGTTTCCTCAGTTGCAAATATCGCTGAATACCAGCTGTGGTGTAACTGTGGTGAATGACCTAAGAAAATGACCTCAAAGTCACAAAATGCATAGTTTAGTTAAAGAACAATAAACGCTCGTGAGAAACTTGAGTAAAGGATGAGGTTGGGGGAAAGAAGCTGGCTGACATAGATAGCTCTTCATTTGCTAACTGCAGGTATGTCTAGGTGAAAGCCTGTCACCCCTGGGTCATATGGAGTCTGTCCTTTTGACTCAATTCATGGCATGCAGACATTGTCCCCTCCCCACCTTGAATGTTTATTTGTTTTTATGTTTTTTGCTAAGGTGTCTCAAGGATATTTGTAGTACATTAGTTTTTATTGTGTTCTGTTTTATTCTCTGTGCTGCAATAACATCAGTGTCTTGCAAAGCCCATACAAAGGATGGCAGAAGGATATTGGCATCCAGGAACAGTGCCTTCAGTCCCTCGGGGCAGAAACTCAAATGTTGGCTACTGCAGGCTGCCTAAGCTGTCACGGTGCGTTCCAGCTAGGTTGAAAACTGTCCTCCTAGGATGAGCACTGTAGTCATCCCATTACTGATTTATGGCTGAAACAATCTAGCACACAATTGCTGGCTTGATATTGCCGAGCGTGATGATACCTTAGTGAGAGGTGAGGAAGCTCTAAGTAGGTGAGTCAGATGAATGCTTTCAAATGAGCTGTTCAAGTTTTGCATAACTAATGGAGCAGTATAAAGAAAAAAAAAGGCAATAACAACAACAACAAAAAGCCCCAAAATGCAAAAGATCCTGAAAATCTCAAGATTAGGAGACTGCTCAGAAAGCTTTGATTGTTATTAAGGTTAACTTCAACAGGCAATTTACAGGTTTGGTGATTTTCAGGAAGATATCCTTTCAGTTGAGGTGAGAAAGGAAGTGGCATATGGCTTTTTTAACATTCAGGAGCTCTTCTAGTGTGACTAAAACTAAAGATGATGACTATGTTTTTACTAAGATTTTTTTCTGAAGGCTTAAAATGAAAAGCTCCCGATTTCAACCTTCAGCCCTCTTTAGCTGTCACAAGACATGTTCATGCTTCAATCACACGCAGCTCATGACCACGTTATGAAGCTACTTTAAAATCAAGTAACTTAGCTGTTGCCTGAATATTTAATCAACTTTTTGGCTGGATTTTATTGCCAGCATCAGATCCCATAATGTAAGCCATTTGTGCTGCAGATATACCTATGGAAAGAAAAGGAGAAAAGAGGAGACAGAAACCCATTCTTCCACCTTTCATATACCAGCTGAGCTTGAAACTAGCAGAGTCATTAAGCGTAATGCCAAGTGTCAGTTGTGTGAACAAATGTGTAATAATTGTGTTTTGGATCCAACAGTGTTTTAGAGCAAACTGCTCATAATTTCCAGCAGTTACTCTTGCAAAGTGCGTTCCTTTCTTTGATTTATCTTAAAGCTATATCTGCAGAATAAAATTGCAAAGTCAAACTCATGCTTTGCAGTTACTTAAATTATATATTATATAGTAAGTAACTACACCCAGCAGAGCTAGCAGAAGATAGTTGTCTATATAAGGCGAGTTTAGCTGGTACTCTTCTCAGCCTTATCATTCTCTTCAAGACCATATACTGTTTGTGTGTCATCTTAAAAAGGTGCCCTTGGTGTCAGATTGGTGTTAAAATTGTTCATTTCAAATATGTGGCCATTACTGAAATTGTTAAAGCTGCTAAGCTCAGATTTATACCTAATTTGTCTGTCTATCATTCTTTCCAAGAACTTTTGTTTTACAGATATATAAATATTTAGTCTCGGAATGTCTCTTTCTTCATACACATGTGTTATGTATATATTTATGAAAAATTTGTACAGCTAGAATATAACCTCTCTCCTTCAAGTGGTCTCACGTAAAGGGAGGGATTCCGTATGCAGCAGACCAGACAATTTATAAAAACCATAACATTTTTAGAGGAAGATTTTCCATTCTATTTTGGAGCATCAGAGATCATCTTAGTTTGAGTGATCTGAATAAGGGATGCTGTGAGGATGATGTGATGATCGAGGTGGGGAGGCAGAGAGGACTGGAGATACTGGAGTTCTGAGTGTTCTGCAGGTGTGGGAGCAGAACGGGAAGAAGATACGTTGGACTAGTGAAGGTACTGGTATATTGCAGTTGGGGTCATTACTATTGTATATGAGAAGACGGAGTCAAAGACCAACTGTGTAAGTTTTAGCTGCGAGAAGACTGTACATGGCCTGGAAGAGAAGGTGTTTAGACCTTACAGCCTTGATAAATGTGAGTGAATGGATAGATGAAAAAATATTCTTGGAGGAACATAGCTTATTATGGTAGTCAAGAAGCGTAGAAGGTTTGAAGATGGTCATGCATCTAGGCCTTAATATATCAGAATTATGGCTCTTTTTCCATATTGTTTTGAGGGCTCACTTGCATTTATGTATGTAAAAGCTGAGGGTGTTTGTGTATTTGGGGTGAGGAATAAATCGGTGATGCTGGGAAAAGTGTTTCACATCATGTTTCCACAGCTGGTTTTACAATGTTCTTGTAAAGTAACCCGCTGTTGTCCTGTGTGCCACTAACACTCTTTCTGTAATTTAGACCAAACAGACATTTAATTTAAGTTCACAAGTGACCGATGTTACCTGATTTTCTTTCCTTTGTCTCCTTTTCTCTAGCTGTTACAGCTTCTGGAGTGTGAAACCATGCAGCTAGAAGCCTTTCTGGAGTGGAAGCAACTGGAACCAGTTTATTGGCAGTGGATGGTAACGAATCAAACTAATTTCAAAGGGTGATGCTTTCTTGACTCTTAACAAATAGCTGACCACTTCCAAAGGCCCCTTCCCACAAAAATAAATGCTGCAAACCCACTCACTATTCAACAGCACTTGAGAAGAAGGGAAAAAAGCCTTTGGTAAAGTAAGGAATGTTTTCTTAGTTCTCCTTCATCCCTCTGTTTTTCTTGTGTAAGATTCACCAAGCTAAGCTAAGGAATTGCAGGGCAGAGTGGCAGAATTTTGTACAGTTAACACAAATGAAAATGTCTGATCTTCATCTCTCTAATTTTTTTTAAGCATAGCATTCGTACATTTTGTTAAAATTAAATGGATTTTCAGAAGAGGGCCTCTAAGCTTTATTGCAGACTTGAGAACAACTAAATTTGCAAGCAGCTGCTATTGAAAACAACTTCATTTTTCCCAGCCAAATAATGTGTTGAAATTGCCAATTTCCCCTTGAACTGTGTTGAATGATCATAAGAAAATCAATAAGCCTTTCTCTGTGCATCTTACGATTTCTCAAGCGAGTGTAAACGGTACCATCCATCTCACTTCTCTCTACAACTTTTGCCCACTCACAGTTGCTGAAAATAACTCTTTAGAGCACCATATTAGTCACATGAGTTTACAAAATTTTGAGAATCAGTGAGCTGACTGTTAATTGCCCATATGCCTTGTTCTACACTAAAAGCAAGGCGAAGGAGTGTAAAATTACCTCACCTGTCTTGAACAGTACTTCCAATGCAGAGCCATTCGAATTGCCATTAGTTATATAATGTTTTTTTGCTTTACATCTCTACCATCTTATGGTTGTTTGGAAGGCACCAACACTAGCAGAAGCCTGGCTCCAAATAGGCAAAATGCAACTGCAAGTGTTACGGCATTTCAGTGTATCCATCAAAACCTTTGCCTCTTGCAAGATACTTGCAAATAACCTGACCAGCACATCTTTTTAAATTGTTCAACAGGTTGGATGGCAAATTTGCCTTTTTCTTTTGTTTTGCTGCTGCTGATGGTTGTTCCTGGATGCAGTAGCATGTATGGGAATGAGATATGCTTGAGGATAGAGTAGTTTTCTCTTTCCACTTAATCTGTGTTTTTCATTGCTGATCTGATGAATGGAATGATTCTTGCACAGCTACTGTCAGGTCTTCTTGAGGGTTGTGGGCAGGAGCATGACAGAGCATGATGTAAATACAGCAACTGGAGTGACTGCAGTCATGTTATTTTAAAATTCTGTCATTTAATGAATTTCAAATTAAAAAAAAACAAAACAAAACAAACAAGCAGCCACAAAAAAACCCACACAAACCAGAAAAGCTTTGTTTTATTTCAGTTAACAGTTTGTTAGCCTGTTGGTGCCCAGAACATGTCTGTGGTGTTATAAGCTGGGCCTTTGGTCAGCATGAGCTGCTGGCCTCAGTGGTGCTTTGTGCTGCTTTGCAATGCTGATGCTCACTCAGAAAGGAGGTTTTGTAGGGTGTCTTTTGTCATTCTTAGCTATCTTACAATGTTTTTTCTTGTATGAGTCTAAAAATCTCTTGCTGTGAATTAAGCCAGGATTTTTAACCTACCTGCAGAGAAGAGAGAGAAAGAGGAGGGAAAAAAAATATTCCCATCCTCTTCATAGCAATCTTTTCTATAAGTAGAGGCTGTTAGCATGTCGCTGCCTTCCCAGTCCCCATTGCTAGGCTAAACAAAACTGGTTGTCTTAGTGTCTCCTTGTAGGCCATTCCTTCAAACTTCTGATGGTTGTTGCTGCTCTCATATGGGACTTTCCTTTCCATTTGTCTGTGTTTAACTTCAAGTGCCTCACCCGTATGTCAGTGTTACAGTCAGCACTTTTCTATCACAGAGACTTGTGTTTATACTTTCTAAAATGGTACTTGACTTCAAGAGGAAGACATTGGTGACTTCTGGTTTTCTGACATCTCTTCCAGCAGTGTTGCTGCTCAGCCAGTAATTATACATTTGGTTTTTCCTTGCCCATGTGTAGACCATGCTGCTCAACAACTGAATTTCCTCTCACTGTTTTCAAATTACTTATCCAATTTCTAAAGATAATTTTGAATGCAAATTATGTCCTTAAAAGAGATTATGGCCTCTCCTATTTAATGTCATCTTGATAACAATATGGAAATAAATACTTAATACTCTTTGAGTGTGGAGGCCTGGGTCCTTTAGTTATGCTCTGCTACCCTGGCTTGAAAACTGTGTTTCTACATAATCTCTGCACAACGGTGTATAGGTATAGGCATTTCAAGGACTCTGAAGTTAATTGGGGTTTTTTTGAGTGTTTCAAATAACAGTTGCTATCTCCAAAGGCAGTTGCAGAATTAATTCTAGAACCAGCTAGGTGATCATGGTTAAGCATAGCTGACAGAGCTCCTGACCAGTCTGGAGCAGGGATCTCTTGGGGTTCATCAACTTGTGGGGTTTTACATGGGCACAAGTGATCCCAGGGTTGTTACAACTTACTGTGCCACATAGCAGGTGGGGCTCTCCTGAACAATGTAAGCACGTATCTCCATCCTGGTCATCATTTTGTTACAAAAAGCCATAAAGTGGCTTTTTTTGTTGCTCTCCTCAATTTGAGGGGAAGGAGCATATCTAGAGCTTCTGCAGTACTGATGGTCTCTGTTCCATGAGTATTACTTTATGCTTTAGTGCAGTAGAGAGTAGCTCACAGTATGCAGTGCTTTCTAAAATAACTTAGATTAGCAACATAAGTTTTCTGTTAACTTAGAAATATGTTACAGCAAACTGAGGAGGTTGTCTCTTAAAATAACTCTGAAATTGTGGAGCAACTGTATACTGAGATGGCAGCAGTGAATTCCTAGTTATGAATTACCAGGAAGATGGGGCAGAGGGGCATTTTAGCTCTGGCCGAAAAGTAACTTTTGTTGTTTTTCCTTTAGGAAACTGTGTTAGATAACATGGCTGAAGAGGGAAGTATATGCAAGTCCCAGGACACTCATGCAGAGAAAAGTGGGCTGCCAAAGGTGACCTCGTGCTGCCACTGGGCTGACAGTCTGACTGGGCAAATTGGCAGATTATCCAAAGATCTAACGACTCTACGTGACCAGCTGCATGAGCTTGTAACTCACCGAAGGACTGCGTGGTGTGAGAAGGTAAGGCTTTGGGTGGCTCTCTTGATCATTAGTGATTTTTAAGATCCTGTATTTTTCAGCTATCTTGCTACAGCCCATCCTAGGGCAGCCTCCCTGTTGCTGCTCTGTGCCAATCTTGCAGCAATCTCTATGTCAGATCTACAGTTACTTGTCTGTTTATGCCCGCAGCATGCCAGGTGCTCTTTCAAACACAGAGTAGGCATCTGTCCCAGAGAGGCAGCATGCTGAAACAAAGTAAGTGCTTTTTTGGAAGAGAAGGCATCAAAGGATAGGGGTTGCAGAGAAGAGAAGAGGAGGAAATCATGGCAGCCCCTGGAGGGGATAGAGGCAGCAGCTTGAAAGCATCAGTAGTGGTTATAGTGAGGAAAAAAAAGGTACTTGCAGGGAAAGGAGGGTGGGAGAGGCCACAGCTTGTCATCTTTCCCCGAGTTAGTAGTCTTTGAAATGTCTGTTGGGGGAAGGAATGAGAAGGATTTTAAACCTGTGAAGTGAGAGAAGAGACTCTGCACAAGATTTGGTGGAAGAACAGACTGGCTGTGGGAGGCTGGCTGCAGAGTAAAGCAGGTGATATGAAGGAAGTGTACATGGTATTTGCTGACACAGGGGTGGGGAGACACTGGGAAGCACCCTGGGGAGAGTGGTGGGCATAAATAAAGGAGCTGTTAATGTAAATGTAGAAAGTGAATCTGAATATTAACAGGCTGGCACAAGGAGAAGATATGATGAAGATGCAGGCATAAAAACTAGTTATTTTTTTGAGGCATCAAGAGGAAAGAAGGATATCAGAGACTCTATGAAACCCGTGGATGGAGAAAAAGAGAAAGAAACAATCGGGGCAGACAGAGAAGAAACAAAAATGCTGTATCACTATTCAGTGTCTATGTTAACTCAGGAGAGGGGTTTTTTTCCCCTTTTTTTGTGGTGTTGGTTTTGGTTTGTGGTTTGTTTGGGGTTTTTATTTTTTCAGATTGAAGTTTTGGTAGACAGGATTATAGATTAGCTGACAAAAGGAAAAAGTGGCAGGTTGTCAGATCAAGAGATATTTGCCCAAGAGTGCAAAAGGATCTGGCATGGGAAAAGTGTGTGGACAGCTGATCACTCCCTCTTCCACTGTAAGGATAAGGAACTGGTTAGGAGCAGTTGGATAGAGACAGGCACAAGGAGCTGCTGCTTCACACAGAATGTGGAACTTCTTCACACAGGGTACTGTGGATATAAGCAGTGTACCTGAATTCGGAATCCGCTGGACACATTTTTGGAAGAAGAAATCCATCAAGGACTATTAAATATACAGATATGAATTACAGGCTTAGGAAGTTGCAGGAATACAAATCGTTGCAGGCTGGGGGAATCTTCTGAGGAAGTATTTGCCTTTGTCTTATAGTCTTCTTTAGGCACTGGTTTACACCTTGGCCAATTAAGTGGCACAAGAACAGTTTTTTAGTGTGTAAGAGGCCACAAGTGTGTTTGACCTGGAAACATTTTGCTCTCAACTCAGAGGGAAACATACAGATAGGAAGTCAAGACGCTGCACACTTTGTACTTAAGAATGCTTTACAAACTTGGATATTAATCAGCCTCCAAACTGTCCTTCCCCTCCATGAGGTAACAACGTAAGAGCTTTGGATCAGCTACATCCCTTTACTGACAGCCACTTGTGAGCTGCCTAGTTCTCTGGAAGCCCTTCAATCATATGACTTGACCTACTGAGATCCTATCATCTTGCAAGTCTTCCTTCCTTTAGGCACTTGCTGTCGATCACTGTCAGTGATGGGGTACCAGACTAGGCAGGTCTCCAGTGTCATCAGATTTGGTTGATTTTTATGGTAAAACAGACATGACTGTTGAAGGACAACTCAGACCTTGAATTTTAACAATAAAATTTCCAATGCATGATTTCCAAAGCAAGATGTGCTCTGACTCCTCTTATATATAACAATATATATGCTGTTAAATATTGTAGAATCATAGAATCGTTTAAGTTGGAAAAGACCTTTAAGACACTGAGTCTAACTGTTAACATAGTACTGCCAAGTCCACCACTAAACCATGTCCCTAAGATCTTTTTAAATACCTCCAGGAATGGTGACTCAACCACTTCCCTGGGCAGCCTGTTCCAGTGCTTGACAACCCTTTTGGTGAAGAAAGTTTTCCTAATACCCAATCTAACCCTCCCGTGGGGCAACTTGAGGCCATTTCCTCTCATCCTATCACTTGTTACTTGGAAGAAGAGACTGACCCCCACCTCACTACAACCTCCTTTCAGGTAGATGTAGAGAGTGATAAGGCCGCCTCTCAGCCTCCTTTTCTCCAGGCCAAACCACCCCAGTTCCCTCAGCTGCTCCTCATAAGACTTGTGCTCTAGAGCCTTCACCAGCTTCATTGCTCCTCTTTGGACACACTCCAGCACCTCAGTGTTTTTCTTGTAGTGAGAGACCCAAAACTGAACACAGTATTTGAGGTGCAGCCTCGCCAGTGCTGAGTGCAGGGGGTCAATCACTTCCCTACTCCTGCTGGCCACACTATTTCTGATACAGATCAGGATGTTATTGGCCTTTTTGGCCAGCTGGGCACACTGCTGGCTCATACTCAGCCAGCTGTTGACCAGCATCTCCACGTTCTTCTCCTCTGGGCAGCTTTCCAGCCACTCCTCCCCAAGCCTGTAGCATTGCAAGGGGTTGTTGTGACTGAAGTGCAGGACCCAGCACTTAGCCTTGCTCAGATCTTTTTAAATACCTCCAGGAATGGTGACTCAACCACTTCCCTGGGCAGCCTGTTCCAGTGCTTGACAACCCTTTTGGTGAAGAAAGTTTTCCTAATACCCAATCTAACCCTCCCGTGGGGCAACTTGAGGCCATTTCCTCTCATCCTATCACTTGTTACTTGGAAGAAGAGACTGACCCCCACCTCACTACAACCTCCTTTCAGGTAGATGTAGAGAGTGATAAGGCCGCCTCTCAGCCTCCTTTTCTCCAGGCCAAACCACCCCAGTTCCCTCAGCTGCTCCTCATAAGACTTGTGCTCTAGAGCCTTCACCAGCTTCATTGCTCCTCTTTGGACACACTCCAGCACCTCAGTGTTTTTCTTGTAGTGAGAGACCCAAAACTGAACACAGTATTTGAGGTGCAGCCTCGCCAGTGCTGAGTGCAGGGGGTCAATCACTTCCCTACTCCTGCTGGCCACACTATTTCTGATACAGATCAGGATGTTATTGGCCTTTTTGGCCAGCTGGGCACACTGCTGGCTCATACTCAGCCAGCTGTTGACCAGCATCTCCACGTTCTTCTCCTCTGGGCAGCTTTCCAGCCACTCCTCCCCAAGCCTGTAGCATTGCAAGGGGTTGTTGTGACTGAAGTGCAGGACCCAGCACTTAGCTTTGTTGAATGTGATACAGTTGACCTCAGACCATCAATCTAGCCTGTCTGGATCCCACTGTAGAGCCTTCCTTCCCTCAAGCAGATCAACATTTCTGCACTACTTGGTGTCATCTGCAAACTTACTGAGGGTGCACTTGATCCCCTCATCCAGATCGTTGATAAAGGTATTAAACAGAACTGGCCCCAGTACTGAGCCCTGGGGAACACCACTTGTGACCGGCTGCCAACTGGATTTAACTCCATTCACCACCACTCTGTGGGACCAGCCATCTGTCGAGTTTTTCACCCAGCAAAGAGTACACCTGTCCAAGCCATGAGCAGCCGGTTTCTCCAGGAGAACGCTGTGGGAAATGGTGTCAAAGGCTTTACTAAAGTCTAGGTAGACAACATCCATAGCCTTTCCCTCATCCATTAAGTGGGTTACCTTCTAATAGAAGGATATCAGGTTAGTCAAGCAGGACCTGCCTTTCGTAAAGCCATGCTGACTGGGCCTGATCACCTGGCTGTCCTGTACGTGCCGTGTGATGGCACTCAACGTGATCTGCTCCATAACCTTCTCTGGCACCGAGGTCAGACTGACAGGCCTGTAGTTGCCTGGATCTTCCTTCCAGCCCTTCCTGTAGATGGGTGTCACATCTGCTAACTACTAGTCACCTGGGACCTCCATGGTTAGCCAGGACTGTTGATAAATGATGGAAAGTGCCTTGGTGTGCACTTCTGGCAGTTCCTTCTGTACCTTTGGGTGGATCTCGTCCAGCCCCATAGACTTGTGTGTGTCTAAGTGGTGTGGCAAGTCCCAGACCATTTCCCCTTGGATTATGGGAGCTTCATTCTGTATTCTGCTTCCTGTCTTCCATCTCAGGGGGCTGGGTACCTGGAGAACAACTGGTACCTTTAACAACTGTTAAAGACTGAGGCAAAGACAGCATTAAGTACCTCAGCCTTTTCCTCACCCTTTGTCACTGTATTTCCCCCCATATCCAATAAAGGATGGAGATTCTCCTTAGCCCTCTTTTTGTTGCTGATGTATTTATAGAAACATTTTTAATTGTCTTTTATGGCAGTAGTTAGATTAAGTTCTAGTTGGGCTTTGGCCCTTCTAATTTTCTCCCTGCATAACCTCACGACATCCTTGTAGTCCTTCCGAGCCCCTTCTTCCAAAAGTCATGAACTCTCCTTTTTTTCCTGTTTCTTATGTTAAATACAATAAATGTTATATAATAATTACACTGCATTTTTTTATGCTTAAATTTGGAAATGAAGTCCAAAAAGATTAACTGATGAGTTCTTAATTTGAAATATTCAAATTGGATTTGAATGACAGTTGGTCAAGTTCCAGTGTTTCTGAGATTCGGTGAATGTCATGTGAGTTTATGACTGTGGGAAACAAATGGAGTGCATCTTGGTGTGTTGTTAAAAGGGTGGTTTATCACAAGTGCCTTCTGTTCTACATGCCCTGGAACAGAATTGTTTTGTAATGCTACACGACAGCATTTTTTGGAATGCTGGGGGTCAAATGATTCTCCATCAATTCTCTTTATATCAGCCCTTCCCTTGCTGCTTATGTGACACTGCCTGTAGTCTGCCTTCTCTTCCCCACAGTCAGGATGCTTGCTGAATGCA